CTTAAATATGTGAAATAAAATTCAGATTTTATGGCAAGATAAGAAAAATTTAAACATAGAAATTTTCTCTGCACTTTATCCTCCTCTCTCCCCTCACTGTGCATTGTGTACTTACATTATGCATTGACCAAACTTCCCGTATCAGCAAAAATACCTGCTCAACCATAAAGAGCAATATTCTCCTAGCATCAAAAAAACAACTCCTTAAAAGATAACATTCTTTTTTGATCTTGCAAGAGGCCATAATGATGCTTATATCTGGACTGCGGAAAACTGTGAATAATACATCATTTAAAGCAGACCCTCTGCCTCAATAAAGTTACGTAACTGTACCATGACTACTAATGGGCGGAACTGTTCTCAGAGCTTTCTGAGATTCTGTTCCCAGGTTATAATGCTCAAATTTGGCTTAACTAAAATTTTCCATTTCTGTCTTAGATCAGCTGATTAATTTTTCACCAACAAATACAATAATTAATAAATTATGAAAGCAGAGTTGAGTTTATTCAAGGATAGCTGAGGAATGGCAGTCCAGGACAAGCAAGCTATGGTGAACTACAGGCAAGTCTGAAGACACAAAGAGGTTAGCTTTTACTAGGTTTCAGGAGGAAACTAGGGAAGGCTGCTCTGAATAAAAATTCACTGGATAAAAACAAGAGTTTGAGGTTGTGGCAGTTTTTCATTGGCTGCAAGTAGTGATCAGTGCATTGTTGTGGGGCAGGGAGAGAGCTTCCTTTTCTATAAAGCAGGCAAAATTACTATGTGAAAAATACCCTCCCATGTCAAAATAATTCTTAGCTTTCTTCTTCCTCCTGGTTATGTAGGTTGCAACAAGTGAGAGAGCTCCCATTTCAGGGCTTCCTGAATCTACTTTAAATGAGGTTTCCTTTATTTATTTTCACACAAGTAAGCATATGGGTCACCAAAATGTCTCCTGTAGAAAAGCAGTGCTTGATGCTTCCCCAGTGGAAAAATTATGATTTCCATCCTAAATCCTTCTTAGTAGCCCAGTGACAAATGTGGCTTATAACAAGCCTTGGAATCTGCTATTTGATTCTACCAAGATCACTTGGTGGGCACTGTACTCCACTTGTGTACAGTAGTCACATGCTAATAAAATGTGAGCAGCTCATCTGCAAAGGCCCTATTTCCAAGTAAGTTTACATTCACAGATATCGGGGGTTAGGACTTCATCATCTCTGAGGACACAATTCAAACCATAACAGAAACAGCCCTCCAGGGCTAAAATCGTAAAGGTCAGGAAGGATCCCTAGTTAATTAAATGAGGCACCCCTAAACTTTTTCAGGGATATTTTAAGTTAGAAGCAGCATAGAAATAGTAAATATTTCCTTCCACCACCACCACAACTTTCCTCCATCAAGGGCCAAAGTGATTTATTCATGGGATGAAACCAAAATTAAGTTAACTTCCATCCCTTTTCCACCTTCGAAAAAAAGCTTATCCCAATACAATTTTAAGACATCATCACCAAATTCAATACACATGACATATATTGAATAAGGAAACTGTATATAAGCAAACTGGAAAAATAACTGCATACATTCTTGAGGAGTTTACATACAAGTGCAAGACAGTAGTGTTCCTCACATAATCTATGAGTCAAGCCTTTAATAAAGTCTATCTCTGATTTACGTACATGTCAAAACAGATACCGAGAAACGGGATACAGTCTGGTATATGAAATCAAAAAATACCGTAACAGGTGCAAAACAGAATGAATGTGTTAAAGTCAGTTTCATAATAAAACATTTATAATATGACAACTTCTACTCCTTGTTAACATGGTTAAGTTATCATTATTATACATTATGATTTGTTTCTTCTCAGAATACTGGAGGCTACTAAGTAAAAACCTAGTGTAAGTCTCTTATTTAAGTTTCTAAATGCTGATTAAAAGCTCTTCCAAAAAACATCCAAATATATGTTTTAATCATATTTTCAGCTAAAATTGCACTTTTTAAAATAAAAGTGATGATATTTGCCTATCAGAAATGCTATCATGCTATCTGAAATTTATTCCTAATTTTTTTAATGTTACATTTCATTGCTTTCCATTATGGCTTACCATGAGGAAATATTTAGTGCCTTGTGAGTCCTCAAGAAAAACAGAATGACAACACTTGGCAAAGTTCCTGGGTTAGTGATCATTGGGCTTAACTTCATAGTAAAATTACAAAAACATGTTATATTTTGTAAAAAGTATATAAATGACATGAGAATATACTCAAAACATTAGATAATTTAACAAAACCTTAGATAAATCACTAAACACTACAGTATGATGTACTAAAGATCTGCCTGTGTAAGGGTGCTCAGCATGTGTGCTCCACATTGTGCTAGGTTATCATCCTGCAGTAAACTCAGATGGTTCCTCAAATCAAAGCCCATTTGCAGATTTGTATTTCACTGAATGTATCCAATACGTCATATAATGCTATTGCTTTAGACATATATGTTATAAGAATACCAAAATAGTTGGCGAGCTTAAACTGGCATCTGTTCCATATCCACAAAATTTTTTTTCCTCTTTTATTCCGTTTCTGAGATATTTGACAAGGTTGTCTCTACTTTAGTAAACTACTGCTTAATTTCTCCCTTGAACTTCCAGCTGGAAGTTGTGATATAAACAGGGTTGGTCATTACACCTCTCCCAGTCTGGAGCAGACTTCGCTTTGAAGGGTAACCATGTCAGTCCTTTAGGTTCACTTTAGTTCTCTTTTCATGTTTGAAAATGTACCTTTCTATGCTATCTTTCGATTATTTAATTTTTGGTTAATCCAGAATAGTCTTTTCACTAGCACTATGAAAATTCCAAATATTCCTCCCTGATTTTATTCATGTTTAAGGACCTTGTAAGTTCCTTTATTCTACAGAAGTCAGTGGGTGAGAGCACTTTCTCTTTTAGCAGAGGGAATAACATTGAGCTCATTTTAAGTCTATTGTTCTAGGCTGTTCAAGAACATTCTCTCTTCTAATTTTCATAACATCCTTTGACGAGGATATCAGAATTCACGCGGTCATCACTCGAAGACTTAGAGAATTAGAGTAATTTCTAAGATCACAGACCTAGTGGTGAGCTGTAATCCACCCATGGTCTATGTCACTCCAAAGTCCAGCTTTGCCTGTCCCATCGAGCTGTGCATTTCTACCATTAATTGGTTATTTTATCATAGGTAAGCCATCAAACTAATTAGAATATTGCTTCCTTTATTTGTAAAACAAGGGATGGAAGGCTGCTACCTTGTAAAATTCTGATATGTGTGACACATATATCATCTATTACTTAAATTTTCTGAGTAACATTTTTGAGATTGAAAGGGCACGGTTAATAATTATGCCAGAGAAACAGACACACAATGAGTGGGCAAGCTGGTTCTCCTCAGTACAGCTGGTGTGTTCTCATGCACTTTTAATCCAGTTCAATATATTTTCCATAGAGAAATTATTTGTGGCTCTTCCCTCGCCATAGATAGTAATAAGATCTGCAAAGGTAAGGATCTTTGTTTTGTTCAACCCTTTTTTCAAATGCCTGGAAACTACTAGAAAATAGACATTTCCTCAATGTATAAAAGAATGATTGGATGAGTGCATGGCTGTTTGGGAAAATGAATTAATGAGTGAAAGAAGAAAGGGAAGAAGACAAAAAGTAAAAAGCTTTAACCAAGTATAACTATGTAATACAGATTCCTAAGTATAGCCAGCATCAGCACTTAGACGTAGAAATATAGAACTCATTAATTTAGTAATAGTCAGTATCAAAACTTACGTTGCCTGATGCCCTCCCTGTCTAGAAATTTTTCCAATAAACAATATGCTCAGAATTTATAATAATGCTATGTACTCACTGACATTCTGTAATAACTTCAATGAACATATTTGTGCTTAATAGTTATTAATGTTCTATTCCTAGAAAACATTTTTGGGTAGCTAATGACTTGAGAAACAGTTATAATTGAAAGTTAATTGAATAAGGCTTAAAATTTCATGTATAATATGATCACACCTATTTGATAATATAGGCATAAGATTGATGAGAAAAATAAAATCTTACAAAATTTTTTGGCTTTATCGTCTTTTATATGGCTAGCGGTTACTAGTTAAAAACCTACTTTGAGTCTCTTATTTAAGTTTTCAAAAGTTGTTAAAATTTCTTCTAAAAATAATTCAAATATATGTTTTAATATTTTCAGATAAAATTATACCTACAGATATATGTGAATAAGTATTTATAGAGACACTTCTGTGTAAAAATAATTATAAAGTAAACTTGAGGTAAATGTTTCTTAATAGGATAAGTAGAACCTGAATTTTCTTTCTTTAACTTGAAAGTGATGATACGAATTTCTCTGTCAAATACTGAAGTTTATGTTAGCCTCATTCTGATTTTTTTTCTACTTTATTCCTGAGCTTTCAGATTTGGATGACAACTATTGCAGGAGTTTAAGTATATGCATAAACAACTAGGAAAACCTTGAATTTATGAGTAACTATTAAAAAATTCCTAAGTCTATATCTGACACTCATTTCATTGGGAAAATACAAATATCAGAAATTTGTAAATATGTTAGATAATCACTCAATTATATCACACCATAAGATAACCATCCCAGAGCAAATCAAACTTCAATGTGGACCAATGAAGTTCAAACTATATCAAATATTATTTTTTTCATTCTTATTACATCTGGGATTAATCAATGATAAAAGGTACACTTACGTTATAAGTAAATAGGAGTAATTTGGGGAAAAAAACAGAGAATGAAAATTTAAATATAGATCTGAATTACTCCAAACCCTGTATACCCAGTATGAGTTCTATTATTGAAAGTACCAAAGCTAGCCTAATATACATAGATATAGATATAGATATAGACAGATATCTATACATATATAATTTTTTAATGAAATTGTCCTTTAGGCTGCCCATCTGTAATGATATCCCATTGCTGTCATCCATATTGATTTTTCCTTGCCTTAAATATAGGTATAGTGAAGCTAAAAGATTATTCATGATAGAAAGAAGGAACTAGCATTAAAGTAAAATGTAAAAAGGAAAAAAACTGGTATGAATGGTTATTTCTATAGCTTAGGAATCTTCTCCTCAGGCTAAAAATTCTTTTTGATACATTGCAACCAGGAGAATTTGTCTCATAATTAACTGGCTTGGGACATGCGGAGATTCAGGGATTTTAATGCCCCCTGTGTGTAAAGTTGCTTTTCATGTCATTATCTTCCTAGTTAACATCTTCACTATTACCTAAACCTTAACATCTGATACTATGAAGCAGAGCCTGAATTTTTCCTTTCTTCCAGGGGAAGTTGTCTCATATTCTTGACAGCAACAGATTCCATGTATGATCAAAATAAACTAGTTAATATCATTTAAATGATATGACATGTTAAGAAAGACATGATGCAAATCATGTTATTACTCTGAAAGAAATTACACTTCAGAAATAATTCTGTTTTCAAGACATTTTCATTATAATGTATATCTCTTACTACACAAAATATTTCTACTTGAGATGCCAAAAGATGGTACCATTATCTAAAGACTGATGATTAATAGAAAATACTAAAGTGTTCAAAAATTCCTGTATTTTATTAAAAGTATTAGTGTTTTCATTAGAAACTTTTCTGCTGTGTTAAGTTTGGCTAAAGTGTGTTAATTTAACTAGCATGCATTAACTGTATTGGTGCCTTTTCCCACAAGTTTCATTACTTTCTCTTTTCTATGCTTGTATTTAATTCACCCACCCAGAAAGTTGTATGTTACCAACAATTACTCCTTGAGTACCGCAAGTAAAACACTATGTGTAAGAAATTTTAGAAGATCTAAAATCTCATGCATATTGGTTTAGACATTCAGCAACATAATTTTACTGAAGAGAATAAATATATAAAAATTAAGTATCAATGTCAAATAACTATGCTTCAAAATAGCTTTCTTTCAACTGTCACATTGAATTATACAGTAAATGAGACAGCTTGAATAACCAGGTTGAAGCCTTTTAAATAATTTTAACCCCAGCATGCCAGTGAAGACTTTGTTGTACATTAATGAAACCTTTGATTGCCTACCAAATAACAATCTATTTTTATTTTTCCTTCCTATATTTAGTCTTATGCATAGACTGCAAAAGCAGGTATAAATAATATACATCTTGTCAAGAGTGCCTCCTTGAATGAACGAAAAGTACTAGCCAGCCCATCAATTTCAAAATAGTCTCATTCTCTGTTCTGCTGAAGTATATTTTTTAAAAAGGAAAATGGAAAAGAAAAAAAAAGTTGATGAAGCCCATCAGGAAAATGTATTTTACACTAGAGAATAAGAATAAAAACTTGAAAAA